TGTATGTTCCAAATGTAAATAATTATCAACACTTTATTTATAAAACTTTGTCATAAGTTCAGTACAGAATTACTGTACACAAACCAACATGGCTGGGTTATCATCATACCCCTGGAGTTAATTAAGATGAGCCCTTACAATGAGGTATATACAGCTCTCCTGCCTTAAGTTGTACTTTTTCAGCTGCTACATGATTGTATACCACTTAGGTCTAAAACAGTGTATAAAATTTTGTTTGATCTGCTGAAACCCCCCAGTGGTATTGTAACAGTCGGCTATAAAATCTAACCGTACTGTTAATGAAATTTCTTCAAGTCCCTCAAAAAAACTTTTCTGATGTTCCTGGCATGTTTTGTTTAAAATATATCCCACATGCGAAATAAATCTTGGTAAAAGATAGACGAGGATGAATATTTCAAACTGCCAGGCCAATAACCGTTGCTTACAATCAATTGAACATCACTCAGTGGCTCTCAAATTTACTAAACATTTGTTGAAATCAAATCCACCTAAAAATACATAGTTAATGAAAGTTATCAAGGAATGAATTTTTTACTAACTTTACCTTTTAACTACAGTAGTAAGTTGTCATAAGAACAAATTTTTTACCATTAATAGTTACAACTATTATTTGTCTCTTTTTTTGGCATGGCATGTCAAAGACGTCACTGTGTTACAGGAAGCACAATTTCTAGGTCCAAGATGCAAAAACCTCCCTAGAATATAATATTAATCAGTCAATTAAGGTTACACGACACCCTTTTTGGCGTTTTGCGGAAAATCGCTACTGCGCGCTCAATATAATATCAGTCCGATTTTCATCAAATTTTCACCACATGTTCTCCAGTGCATGCAAAATATGGTAGAGTTGTATAATTAACAAACAATAAAATAATGTAAGAATTATTCAGGAAAATCTTAAATCGCTTTTGAGTTGTGCTCCTGCTGGTTTTAAGTTATATTTATGAAAATATCATTTTTATACAGTAAAATAGTTGTTCTAAAAAACTGTGTTTGGAAATTTTTGTTTATTTAGTCATTCCGCTGATAGGGCAGTTTCTTTGACGACTGCAATATATTTCTGAACTGTTTGAGCGAATTGCTCTTTATTTTTAAAATATCCAAAATTTAAAAAAAAGCTGAACACAGTTTTGAAACCAACATATTTAGCTGTCCTGTGAAAGTTTGAGAAAAATTGGTTAAAACCCGTTTGAAAATCAGTAATTACCATAAAATTTTTCGGGAGAAAATTGAATTTGAATATTGAATTTTCAATGTTTTTCTTATTGCAGCAAAATGTATTTCATTAAATAACTCTGTGAGTTTCCAACCTTTTTCGTTCAAAGTTGGTCTGTTAGTAGAACTAGTCTAATGCTTTCATTGAAACCAATAAAAAAATTTTAGGCAAAATTAACACTCAAAGGTGTTCTGTAACCTTAACAGGTGGAAGTTACATATATAAATGCTATTATTAGACATCTATCATTCCCACCAATACATAATCATGTAAAAATGCTTCTTGACTCTCAAATTTTTCAACCTAGTGGTTTTTTGACTGGTTACATTTTTACAGTATGCCTTCCTATAGATTAAATGGACTGTACTAAATCATTCCCATACAGTAGACATACTGTACGTAGTAATTAACTTCAAAAGTTGATGGGGGGGGGGGTTACTTTGCCCTAAGCCTCTTCTACTGTACTAGAAAAGGGCACGTTCCCATTGTTTTGCTTCAAGAAAAGGGCACTACTGCTGGGGGGCAGCAATTTCACAGTTGAGTCCGCTACATACAGCTTGTGCACTGCCCATGATTGTGCAATGCCCATAGATGATTTTAGATGTGAATGAGAGACCATTCTATTTGTCAGATGATTTTATTCGTGAATGGGAGAGCTCTGGTGCTTAATGGGTTAACTGACCTACATATCTGCAGGCACATGTGTCTAGTTAACCCACTGAGTCGCATTGCACCCTACTTTATTATTTTACTCTGCCTACCACCAGACAATTTTACTCATCAAGGGGAGAGTGCTGACACTATAAAGGTACTTATAGAAAACCCACAAGTGTGTCATAAATCCATAGCAAGAATTAACAGTATATTTGGAAAAACTTAGCACTATTTTTGCAGACTGAGAAACAAATCACATAAGATGCAAACTTTAACTTCTAGAGAGCATGAATCATTAACCCATTAAGCACCAGCACTCTCCGCTTGACGAGTAAAATGGACGAGTAAAATCGTCTGGCATTAGGAAGAGTAAGATAATGTAATGCAGTGGATTAAAATAAGTTTGAGACAAGTCAATTGTGAAGAACATACAGTACCTGACAGAGTCTTTCTATACCCAACAAGTTTTTCCATAGGTGCAACAGTCTCAAAAAACGCCCATTCCAAATCTCTCGGTCAGGGAAAGGGTTTGATGAATGTAATCTGATTGGTTAATGGAAGTCAAATCTGAACCTCTCTCTATAATAACCAATTGAGAGCCATATTTGCTCTCCCCTTGACAAACAAGATAATATGGCACAATATGAGGTCCAATGCAACTTGATTGGGTTGTAAAATTCTACTTTTATAAGCAGTCTTAACTTTCATGAGTAAAATTATCTGGAGTCAGACAGTTCATGTTTTACCAGACCAAACAATTTTATTTCCCAATTGGTACAGAACCATAACTGATTGACCTAAAGGTTAAAGTACATATTATTTAACTTATACTTTATAGCTTATTTTTAATCGTCTGTACAAGAATTCAGCTCGTGAGTTGGGTACGCTAAGATCCTTCCGGGAAAAGCTTCAGCGATGTAATCTTACACAAGATGTGAAAAATTATGAAGATTGCGAACAACTATTTATGACCACTGGTTTATGCTACACACTATTGAGGCACTTATTGAATTTTTCCAGATGCAGTCACAGGAAGCTCGACCAACAAAGCATATACCACCATTCCACAACATTCATGTTGATGACAACAAGAAGAAATATTTTGATGAAGCTCTGAATGAGTTTGTTGGAACATATTTACTTCCACTTCAAGAATCCCCCTCCAGTAATGAGCAGCAGGATGGTGTAATGAACTATTCATTGTCCCTTCTCTGTTACTATTTCATTATTGTAGCGGCTACTCCCTGAGGGGATTAGGTGTTTTAATAATTCCAAGGTTTAACACCAGATACATGAAGGACTCAGTCGAATACCGAGGTTCTGTGTTGTGGAATTTTGTACATTATAATGAACAGGGAGTAGAACGTCATCAACTTAAATATTTAAAAGAACAGTTACGTTTAAGTAGCTACTTTATAGACTTTAAGTTCGATGTCGCCTCTGCCTCAACTATGCGGTTCAGGCAGAGTGAATATGTATATATTTAATTTAATTTAATTAGTACATGTACATCTAATATTTCATTTTCATAGTAATTCATAGATATATAGTTATATACATGACCCCACAAGCTTGCAAGCTTTAAACATTATCATGTTAAAATAAAGGTTATCTATCTATCTATCTGTGTAAAAATTTCTCTAACACAAAAAAAAAACTTATGAAAACGACAAAAATGCCTTTTCAACATACAGTACTGTATGTGAATATTCACATTGTATATGAAATAAGGTTGCACTTGGGGCATTGGCGATACATTGAGCAAAATGAACAACATTCATGACCAACCATCACACTTACTGGATTTCCACATTGTAAATATTTTAATAAAAAGTTCCATAGACACTTATCTTCAGTCTGACAGTAAGCTCTCATATCTGCTCCGACATGTTGGTTCTTTCCAATATCTCTGTTATTGTAGTAAAGAACTGCTTTAGACAGAAGTCCATCTTGCCCAGCTCTTCCTGTTTCTTGCATGTATTGTTGAATGGATGCAGGTGATCCAACACGAATAATTTCTCAAATACATGGAATATCAATGCCCATACCAAGGGCCACAGTTGCAAAAATAACTCGAATTAATGAAGTTGAATATGTTGGAAAAGAGACAGATAGTTAAAATCGAACAACTGGCAACTAAGCAAGACAACAATAACTTGGAACACATTTTTGTGGCATATATTTTGGGCAGAGAAGTGCTCGAAAACAGTTCCGGCCGAACTGTCTAGAGGCTCTCGCTAACCTAAGTTTTATCTAGAGAAACAGGCGAATCTCTAGACTGCAGAAAGCATGCTTGACTCTGTGCATGTCGTTCAGCGAGTTGAGACCTAGTTGGACTGGTGAACAACTATTGGTATAGGGCACATTACCCAGGGTACTCAAAGCTGGCTGAGGATACACGCAAAAACTGTAGGTTGTTCTAGAAGAACAGGCGGACCTCTAGATAACAGGGGAACAGGCGAACCCCCGTTCAGATCCGTCAGGCCGTCGACATTGAGACCTAGTTGGACTGGTGAACAACTATTGGTATAGGGCACATTACCCCGGGCCGCAACTGATAACCTGACTGACCACATCGAGTCTCTAGGACTGCTCATTCAGGTCTTCAGTGCGACCTGAATGAGCAGTGATTGCGCTTCACGTGGTGAAGTGTTGTCCATCGGACAGCACTTCCCTGCCATTAATGACAATCTACACGAAGTATAGGTTGTCATTTCCGCCACGGGAAGCAGCACAGAGTCGACCGGGTCGGCAATAAAGTGAAAAATGGGTGGATAAAAATAAACTGCATGGCAAGGAAATAGCGAGACTTTTTTCTTTTTTTTTAAATAATTTTTCTTTGCGTTTATAGCATGTCAATGTAAGGCAGATTCGTTAAGCGTTTAAACTTTTGTGGTTGTTTTTATTTGGAAAAACTAGTTACAGACCCGTTTCAGTTCATTGCCGATGCGGCCAAGTCCGGCTACGACACGCTTATAATTATTAGCCGGTCATGTGGACCGTTAACGCAAATTCAATGGATCTGTTTGCATTATGAAATCGCGGTATGAATGACCAACCCTCCATGAAGTACGGGAAAAGGATCCACATAACCATGCAAGCTAGACCACTAACACCTAAAGTAAATATAATAATTAACAGAGTGGACTTAGACCTTTTGGTTTGTATTTGCAATGAGTTTTGATGTTACAGACACTAAAACGTCCCTCGGAGTTCTTATATACCTTTCATAACAATCTGAGGACCAGCGTCCAAGAGTCTTTATTAGCCAAGTAGGGAGTCCTGCTGAACCAGCTGCTGTAGCTGCTCCAATTCTGAAGCTATGTGAAGCATACATGGTTTCGTCTAGTCCTTGCTGCTGAAGTAAACTGCGTAGATGTGAAGTTAGTGTTGCACGGGTGAGTGGAGCTCCAGATTCAAACTGAAAAAGAGGTCGACTTTCGGGGATGGAAGGTGTTTGGAGTAAATAATTCTTCATTGCTCGTACAGGGCAGAATTCATTAAGTGATGATCCAATTGTTAAACGGCATCCACGGCGAAATGGGTCAGTTTTTGAGCGTTTGATGGTGACGTCAAAGTGTTCTGCATTCAAAATGTTCGGGTAGAAAATAATGCCAGTTCTTGAAAGGTGGTATTCAGGATCAAACGGGGAATTACAAGTAAACTCGCTGCACCACAGAAAGCCGAAAAAGGCTAAAGTAAAGGCAGCCCAGAGCATCACATTGTCTATAGAATCTGTAAACTGGGGACGTAGTGCACGATGAAGACATGCGAGTTCTTTAAAAGTGATGGGCCGACGATCTCTCGTTTTTTCACCCTTCAGGCATTTCAGACCTTTCAAACATTTTTCTAGTAGTTGCATGGTCCCCATATTGAATGGCACTTGGAAAATGACGTGCAGAGAAGACACGCTGGCTAGATACGTTTTGACAGTTGCATATGAAACTGATTGGGATAAATGTCCCACAAAGTAAAGTAAAGTAATTTCAGTCGCAGGCAGCAGAGGTGAACAAGGTGTCACGATCCCTTTTTCGACACACAAAGAAATAAACCGTTTAATACCGGCTGCGTATGGTTGTTTTGTTGAGGTCGCCCAAGAATGTTGAATTAGTTCATACACACGGTCTCTTAGGTTTGAATCATTGATGACGGGATGACGCAAGGCCAGGGTGCGATAATTCGCGTACCAACGTACCAGAGGTACGCCAAAATTACGGTCTGGTACTTCTTTGTTTTTAGCCGAGTACCACGTAGGTACACGAGAATTTGCTATTCGCGTACTTACATTTTCCTTCTAGCAATAACTAGCAAACCTTTCAAGGTATTCAAAACCGTCAATAATTTTAGCTATACAATGTAAATTCCACACATCCGACATATTTTGGGATCAAACAAGGTTATTAACTTTGTTATAACTGTTTATTTATTAATTATTAAACATATAAAATTCAGAAAGGTTTAATTTTTCCGTCAAAGACCGTGCATTATATACGTATGTGTAAAACGCAAGACTCGGAAGTAGCCTTAGGTACACCTTGACTTTTAAGTTCGTACCAGCTCAAGTACTCGGCAAAACTTGTTGGAGTACCAGTCAGGTACGGCTAAAAATATTGAATTATCGCACCCTGAAGGCAGAGGAGAGGCCAATGGCGCTAATTGCTTGAAGCGGTCCATCTGAAAACAAGAGAGCGAGTCAGCAATGCCATTATCGATCCCGCGCACATGTTTAGCGGTAAACGTAAAATTATTTGTTAGCGTACAAAGGACAATTGGTCGCAGTAAATCCATTATCTTCGGACTTTTAGAGGTTTTTTGATTAAGAACTTGAACGATTGACTCGTTGTCACAGAAAAACACAATGCGTTTAGATGTCCACTGGGATCCCCAGAGACAGCAGGCAAGATAAATTGGATAAAGTTCTTGCCATGCGATCGAAATACCGGTTTTTTGGTTGATATTTTGTTCCGGCAGCCAAAGGCCTTGGAACCATTGCCCTGCTAAATAACCACCGAAACCTATGGAACCAGCTGCGTCGGTATACAGTTGAAGTGTTGGCAATGGCGTCTGTTCGGACTCAAGAAAAAGACTAATACCGTTCCAATGTTTTAGAAAAAGTTCCCACATAGCTAAGTCTTTATAAAACCCTGAGTTTAATCGAACAAAATGGTAAGGCTGTTTTACCCCACATGTTAAAGCGATCATGCGACGAAGAAACATACGTCCCGGGGCAATCACACGACATGCAAACTGGAGAACGCCAATTAGAGATTGAAGTTCCTTTAACTTACACGATGAACGTTTTTGCCAATTCTCAAGCAAAGACCTAGCTTGACCAAGTTTATCAGGGGGAAGATAAGCTATCATGCGGACAGAGTCTAAAGAAATCCCGAGAAACTCCAATACTTCATTAGGGGCATACGTTTTTCCAGGGGCAATTGGAACATCTAACTCGGTAAACAGGCACAACAATTTACATAAGGAAGTTAAACATGCCGAACGTGGTGCGGGTTCGGCTATAAAGAAATCGTCCAAAATATGGAGAACGTTTGAAACTCCTATTTTGTGTATAAGAATCCATTCGAGGGCATCGGAAAGCATGTTGAAAATGAAAGGGGCACTTCGAAGACCAAAAGGAAGTACACGATCGAAAAAATACAAATCACGCCATTTGATGCCGAGAAGTTCCCAGTCGTCAGGATGTACTGGTATGTTACGAAAGGCGGATTTAACATCGGTTTTGGCCATGAAACATTTTGGACCGAGCTTTAGAAGGATTCTTATAGCATCATCTAGGCGTACATATTGTAGCGAATATTCCTCGGACGAAATGTTCGCATTGACGCTGGCGTTGGAAGTTTTTGGATACGAGACCCAAAGGGTAAATTTGAAAATTTTGAAATGGGGGTGAAGTGAAAGGCCCAATAGTGTGACCTTGTTTGACTTCGTCGAGTAAATTACTATCAACGGTTTCCGGCAAGAGGTAAGCGGTTTTTAGATTTTTTGAAAAATAAGGCCGACGAGGCCCGTGATAACCAATTTTAAACCCGTCCCTCAAGCCCGAACAGAGGCCGAAGACAAATTCACGATCTGGGTGGTCAGTTAACAGAGATTCAAGTAAATTAACATTAATTGGTGTAACTGGTTTTAATTTGTCAACAAAAGCTTTACTTGTGTTTTCTGCGACGCGAAGTGTCATCAACTCTTTTAGCGCTGGTGTCATCGTGAGTGTAGGCGCCATGCTGTTCACCACAGTCTGGTCGATTGCAGCGGTGTTCGAACGGACACAGAAAGGTAATACATGGGACACCTCCATTGAAATTCCGGCAAAACTTTCTTTGGTTGGAAAACCTGCTTGGCCGGCTACCTTCAAACCTTGAGGAAAGAGGGCAGATATCAGACATGTGATCAGCGCCGCCGCATACAAAACACATTTGATGCGCGAGACCCGTGAACTTATCTAGCCAAAGCTGGAGATGGC